GTATATGTTTTTAGACATATGATCTGTTGACCAAGGATTGATAGTTCTAATGTATATGTTTTTAGACATATGATCTGTTGACCAAGGATTGATAGTTCTAATATATATGTTTTTAGACATATGATCTGTTGACCAAGGATTGATAGTTCTAATGTATATGTTTTGAGTATTATTTAGTTTACAATCAGCAATAGTGGGTTACATTAAAACAAAGAAATAATAACATTTTGTCCAATTTTCCATTGGATTGGTGCTTAGTTTTAGTATACTTTCTAGGAAACTTTGTATCTAGTTTTGTAGCATATAGTGAATAGTGTTCTTTGTAGCTAACCCAGTGTTAGTGTTCAGTATATGCTTAGGAATGAGTTGGTATATAGTGTTCACTACACATTTTGCCAAATGTCTGTCTGTCACATTTTGTATCGTTTGAATGGTTAACTGTAGAAACAAAAATGTATATCTAAATGGTTATTCAGTTGGATGGTTTTTTAATTCCTAATATTTCATATCAATCCATCAGTCTTAATATGTGCCAAATGATTAATCTAACAGAAACATTATTAAGAATAAAAATATTTTTAGGGGCAATTTCACAACAAAAAAGGGGACTTCCTCCGTGGATTGACTGAAAGAAATATTTCGAAGATAAGAACATGAACAAGAAATACATATATGAAGAAAGGAACGTGTGTAAGTATAGATTTGTTGTTTTTCAGTTTATATATATTGATATAACTATTACATGATTACATTTTACCACATGGAATAAATTGATTTCAACTGAATTGAATATCTTTTGTTGACACTTCTTAAGGAAAAGAAAACTATCAAAAAGCACTTGCATTGGTGGTAGTCTTTTCTTGCACTAAACATAATGACATCCAATAGTATTAACCCGTGGAATGAAAAATTCCAAAACATATTTACCTCCTCTCACACTACAGCTGTTACTCGACCTCTAGGGTTTGACGTACTTACCTCCTCTCACACTACAGCTGTTACTCGACCGCTAGGGTTTAACGTACTTACCTCCTCTCACACTACAGATGTTACTCGACTGCTAGGGTTTAACGTACTTACCTCCTCTCACACTACAGCCATTACTCGACTGTTAGGGTTTAACGTACGTACCTCCTCTCACACTGCAGCTGTTACTCGACTGCTAGGGTTTAACGTACTTACCTCCTCTCACACTACAGCTGTTACTCGACTGTTAGGGTTTAACGTACTTACCTCCTCTCACACTGGAGCTGTTACTCGACCGCTAGGGTTTAACGTACTTACCTCTACTCACACTACAGCTGTTACTCAACCACTAGCGTTTAACGTACTTACCTCCTCTCACACTGCAGCTGTTACTTGACTGCTAGGGTTTAACGTACGTACCTCCTCTCACACTGCAGCTGTTACTCGACTGCTAGGGTTTAACGTACTTACCTCCTCTCACCCCTACAGCTGTAACTCGACTGCTAGGGTTTAACGTACTTACCTCCTCTCACACTACAGCTGTTACTTGACCCTTAGGGTTTCTTTTCATTTGCCCATCTAAGCATTTTTCTCATTTACTCCAGTCTTTTATTCACTGCTTAATTGCCCTTGGTGATATCTGTCTCGTGACACTTTCCAGCTATGTCAGTGTGCCCTCTATCTTGGTACTGTATATAAGCACCTCCTTCAGATAACATTTTTTCTCAACAAAACGTTCACTAACAGGTTTCTCAGTACTATGATACTTTTAGTGTTCTTCATGTTACCTATTTAATTTTCATAAAACTAAAAAAAAATGTGTTTGCCAAACCGATTTATGGCATGCATTCCCAGATTATTGGAGACATTTCAGGTTGAGTCTGTCCGTGACCTTATCCTTAGTGAGATGGAGACATGTATTTAGTCCAGAGGTGTTTCTGCGCTGGGCTCTGAAGCTGCACTTGCACGAAATTTTGGGAGAATTTTAAATTTGCTTTTATCCAGCACCTCTTGAGGTCAGTTTGGTTCAGCTGCCTCCTGCTCTTTTTCCTTCATTGGTACATCAAATGCGTGATGTTTTTGTTTTTTCTCCGGGTGGTTTTGAGTCTGCACCTTCCTTGATGGTCTGAGGGTGAGTACTTAGTTCTCCCCTGATATTTTTCTTCATGCAAGGTAGTTTACTACTCAGTTACATGAAGAGCCAGCTAAGCCTTGTCTGCCACGTAGAAACATACTTAGACTCTCAGTGAATAGACCTGCTTCTGGAAATGTAGAGTTCCAGAACAGAGTCTGTGGTCAACCTGAATAGATCACAGTTTTCTTCTGACCCTGACTGAGATATTTATCATCTCTACACCTTTTTTGGAAGCATCTCAGCAATCACCACATCACTTTGATGAGGAGTCGGGACCATTGTTAGCATCCACCTTGGTTCAATTGTTGGCGTCTTCACTTTCCCTACTCTCTTGGCTGGTATGTTGTTGGGATTGGTTCAATAGAGATGAGTTGTTAGAGGACGTTCGTCTTACCTGCTGCAGCCCACTACGAGATATGTGAGGCCCTTTTTTCCAACCCTTGATTTCTATGGGCATTCCAGAGTCTTTGGATTTGAGGGTTTATGTCTCCTGTCTGCATTTGTTCCTGTTGTTGTTGACTTCTCGACTTTCCTTGGCTCCTACAGGGACTTTATAGTTCTTCTCCACTTTGAGTTTTTGACCCCTAACATCAGCTCCTTGGTCCATGTGTATCCAGAATAGATTCCACCCATAACTACAAGGTTCCTTCACTTCGTCATAACACTGCCATTGGTGGCAGTGATTACAGTATTACTTCAAGGTCTGTGGGGCTCGGCTCTGAGAATTTCTGGACATGTGGAAAACCTTTACCAAGGATTCATGGGTACTACAAGTCCTTGCATTTGGATTTAGTCATTGAGTTCACATCTCCACCACCTTTATTTCTCTCAACCTGTAGTGTTTCCACCTCCCGCTTATCCTTGGAGTTTGGAACATTGTTTCATGGCTATCAGAGATTTATTGGTTAACGGGACAGTGGAGAGAGTCATTCCAGTTCTTCCTGGGTTTTATTATTGTCTATTTGTTTTGTCCAAGAAGACAGGAGATTTGCATCTGGTCATCAATCTTTCTGATCTACATCAATTCCTAGATCTTCCAAAGTTCACGATGGAGTTATTCCCCACTCTGTGTTTGTATTTTTCTCTAGGACTGTAGATGACCAAGTTGGATGCTGCTAATGCCTATCTGCACATTTCCTTGGCAGAGTCGTCCTGCCACTATCTGTGTTTTGTGCACAAGGATCTGGCGCTGCAGTTCAAGGCTTTGTCCTTCGAAATAGCATCAACTCCATGTGTGTTCTGCCGAATCGTAGAAATCTCTTCTTGTCACGTCCATTCTTTGGGCCTGTGCACACACCATTTAATGGACATCTGGCTACTGCTAGCACCATCTCGTCAATTGGTGGAATGTCGCACCCAGATACTGCTTTCCGAAGTCACCAAGACGGGATTTCTTATCAGAGCTGGATCATTTCTTCTCTCTCCAATACAATATATCGTTCATCTCAGTCGTGCTTAGCCAACTCTCGCGTTATGGAACAGGCAGTCCAACTCTTATGTCTCTTTATCCTATGGTTCTTTATCTTTTTGGGATGAGGGCATCACTTAAATCCCTCATTCCTTTGGGATGAGCACACATGAGATTCTTTCAGTGGTTTCTGTGTGACCAGTGGATCATGAACAGCAATCCATTTGATTCCCCAGTTTCCTTTGATCTCGAGTGGGGATTAGATCATAACAATAACATATTTGGTATTCTTGCCACCTACTCATCTAGAGCTCCATCTTTTCATGGATGCCTTGCTTCAGGAATAGGGTGCATATTTCAGTGGTCAGAAATTCCTGGGCCTATGAATGGACAACAAGGCTTCCCTCCACATCAGTGTTTTAGAACTTCTTGCTGTTCAAAGGGTGATGTATCAAGGTCTGGAATTATTGAGAAACAAACTCATCATGCTTCGGACTCCGACAATTCTACAGTGGTGTCTTACACTTCCCACAAAGGGAGTATTTGGTCCAGGCCTCTTTGTTTTCAAACCTTGGATCTTCTATATTATCGTAATATCATCCTAATAGATGACTGTAATCTGGAGGTAATGAATTGGGTGGTGGATCAATTGTGTCAACTTTACCAGATTCTCCCATCAGAATGGATGCTTCCTCGATGGGTATTCCGTTGGACTTGCTCTCGTTTCTGGACAACGATGATCAATGCATTTTCCACTTATTGGAACACCCAACTACCACACTTTGTTCTTTGGTTCCTCACCCTTGGGCATTGGTAATAGATACGTTCAGTCAAGAGTGGACTGGAATTGCACCTATATGCCTATTCATCTGTTAGCCAGAATCCTAACATTGATTCATTCAAACCCTGGTCGCGTTCTGTTGGTACGACCGGCTCAACCCTGGTTTCCGCTTCAGCAGTGCCCATCTCTGTTGAGGCAACCAAGATTCAACATCTTACACCCATACATTCTGAAGTTCAAGTTCAAGAACATAGTTTTAGTTGTCTCTCAAAAAACTGTCATTTTCTCTGTTTTTATTACCTTCTAAAGAAAAATGTTTTTCCATATCCAGTCTTTTAAATTGTTTAAAATGCTGTGGAAGTTAGCATCTGATCCTGTTTGTTTATCTATTTGTGATATCCAGATATTTCTCCTTACTAGTAAGGGATTAATATGGAGAAGATTCAATTAAATTCCAATATTGCAAGTATTGTTTCATAAGATCAGTATTTATAATGTCAGTCATCTTGAAGCTTTAAGAAAAAGCTTACACTGCTTAAAGGCTCATTCGTGGTCTTAACATGCTGCTTACTCTTAAGATATTACAATATAAATCCTTTTGTAGAATGGTGAGATGATTAATAATTACTCGTTTCAATCATTGATGTGAGGCAGATGAGGGGATAGTAAGTTAAGGTAAGTGACTGATACTGGGGTTAGAGGTGCTGTAATTTTCTCTTGAGACTAAGTGTCAGCGTTGGAATACTATATATCGTCACAAGTTTTCCCACATAGAAGTTAACTTTCTAATTATTTTATGGAAAAATGTTTAAAATTTGATTAATTATTCATTTTAAGTAAATGTCATTAAGATGGTGTAAACAGCTTAAAGTCATCATAATAAGTTTTTGAATTGAACCTAGTAGAGGAGAAGAATTACAATAATGATGAATAATTATTATATACTAAGTGTTATGCTAGTGTTTATTATATGCTGTTATGCTAGTGTTTATTACATACTAAGTGTTATACTTGTGTTTATTATATACTGTTTACTCATGTTTATTATATACTAAGTGTTATGCTAGTGTTTATTATATGCTGTTATACTAGTGTTTATTATATACTAAGTGTTATGCTAGTGTTTATTATATACTGTTTACTCATGTTTATTTTATACTAAGTGTTATACTTGTGTTTATTATATACCAAGTGTTTATTATATACTGTTTACTCATGTTTATTTTATACTAAGTGTTATACTAGTGTTTATGTTGACAATTTGATGATGACATTCTAATTTAACAAACAGGTTTTGAGACCCGAGCTTTTTGAAATTATTACACAACAAAACTTTGGACCTAAAACACCATTTATGGTAAGTTAATAAATAGATTTTGGAGAGAGAACAATTGAGAAAGATAAAATATACTGGATAAATTAGCATCTTAGTGATATCTCATGATTTAATAGATGTTTTTACAAATTAGACTAGTGTTTATGAAAAATATATGCTACTTGGTTATATTGTTTTTTATGAAACATATTTCTACTGTGTGATTTGATGTACTAGTTCTAATTATTATTAATTAGGTCTTGGAGTATCTAGGACTTGTCTGTACATGTTAAATATATATACATATATACAGAAATGTTTGAGTACTTTTTAACAAACTATTAGGGGCTATTATTTATATAAAACCCACCTTTGTTAAACAATGCTGCTATTCAATAGATATTAAACTACATTGTAATGATGTCAAATGGTAATCAACTAATGTATACATTATATTACTTTTCTTCAGTGATACTAGAAACATCTAACACAGCACTTCCAGCAGAGCTCAGTTTGATGAATTAGCTTTCTCGTGTATGTGTACTTATTATGGTTTAATTATAATTTTAATTCTTGTCTCTTCTACAAACTTTTGTTACTGCTAAATCAAATGATCTAATCATCTTTAAATTGTCAGCAAGGCACAACATTCGTTTGTAATACTAAAAGACAATCCCAAACAAAATCACATACAGTGGAAGTTTATGTAATCAAAACTGACTAACTTCATAAGGATTTATATAGTTATTCTCGCCTCACAGGCACACATTTAACAAGTATTTGACAACAGTGAAATACACCATTTCCCATGTAAAGATCATCACAATATTAAAT